GGTAGCCCGGTCTGCCACACCAGGTAACCCTCTCAGCTGAAGTCAAATTTTGCCATGTCAACGTTTCAAGGTGAGGTAACCCAGGCTAGTCGGGACGGATTCGTGATACATCAAATTCGCGCAAAATTCACTTTGGCGCCGGGTCGCTTCACATAATTATTAAAGGTAACAATAGAAAGCCACAACACTGAAGGTTGCAGCAAGAGTAGCAAGTGAGCGTAGACGTGGTTTGCCAACATTTTTCTTGTTTACGTGCTTAGCGACCATTCAATAATCTTGAGAAACTGCACCCCAGGATGGCGGGGTTGTAAGATTGCATGTAAAGGGGGGTTATTTTTTTACCCAACCTAAGCAGGTTGCCTCACCTACCTGGGGTCCTCCACCTTTATGTTAACAGGCCTTAAGTCTCAGGAACCGTGAAACTGGTAATAAACGGTATACCTAACCCGGAACTAGCTGTGATACCACTTCCATCTTCAAGAAAGTCAGCATAGCAGCCAAACGAGCCATTATATCGGTGTAACACGAATATTAATTTGCGGTTGTTTCATGCGTCTTGTTTGGTGACTTTTTTGTGTTCGTTTTTGTCAGCATCTCTACATATCAATCATGTTCAAAACACCCCTACTAACAAAATATTTCGTAAAGCTCTTTAGAATGATATTCAGCAATAAAAACAAGGTGTGACCAGGAGCCGATTTCTAGGCTCCTGGTGTGGCAACATATGTATCATTGAATGCAAAGTTTTGCAGTATGTAATCTGTCAGAAATCTGATTGAGTGGTCAAAGTTAGTTGGGACTGATGGACTTCTTTATCATGACCACTCTATTATTACCAGGCCATAATTATTGTTGACCCTTGCTTTTTTTGGTATTTTCTGTAATTTTCCACAGCATTATTTTGTGAAAAGCTGGTAACTGAATTGCTCTTTAGGAGTTCATGATCGTAAGATTTCGTAAGCACGGGGTATTCGCCTAATTGCATCAAACACATTACATTCATTTTCATAAATGATGCATCATTGGTTGGCTAAAAGAGGCCTTGTTCCTGTAAATTTCAGCTCTTCTGAAGTTAGTTTGTTTGTAAATTGTAACCCACACAAATGTGTGAAAAACAAAGAGTGTTAAAAATTCCTGGAGACTGGCATGTTTTACAACCTCGTCCCCAGGGCTTAATAAAAAGGAAGAAAAAACTTGAGGTCGACGGTGCGCTCCTTTTACCCCCCTCTCTCCATTAATTTTCCGTTTTAAGGGTATTTAGAGCTAGTCAAAGCTACACAGAAAGGAGAGAAGTTGAAATAAGGATGTGTTGACAATGGGGATTGAACTCGGGACCTCGCACACCGAAGGCTGCGCACTAACCAACTGTGCCACCCTTGCTCCTCCTTTTCCCCCTGAGGACGAAGTTGACATGTTTTAATCATTATCTCAAGGACAGGGTTACCAACGAAGCAGATTATAATCTAATCTTAGCTGCACAATTACAAAGTGGGCGCGTTGTCAGTTACGGTTCATGAGGTCGTTCATGTGGCATGTCAAACTTTAACGATTCTATCGTTTAGGATGTGATACATTTGAGTTTTATGTCATTGTGTGACATCTTTGAAAGCTGGCTTTGTGATCTGTTTAAATTGATATGTAATGATATCACCGGCAAGTCTTAGCAGTGACATTGATAGCCGCACAGTCCGCACAGTAAACATGGCCACATTTACCGTGTGGAGACTGGGTACTAGTCAGTGTTATGTACATGTAAAACTATTTTGAATAGTGTAACAAGAACTAAACATTGCCAAATTAAAAACTTAAAAATTTGAAACAAAAGTTTTTTAGCCAAATCAAACAAGAAGAGTACTCACCACAGGGCACCCAATCTGCTATTATAGGTGAAAGTTAACCCTCCCTTTTATCTGTAATTAGGACCATTTGTAACGGGCACCCCCTCCAGTATTAATCGGTAGGTGCTAAGGAAGCTCTGTGCCAAATTTGACACTTTTGTCACGTCTGTAATGATCCGGCCTATATTTTGCACTAAGAGACCTGACTATAGGGGTCAGTTTAAGATTGAGCCACACCCACATTGTTCCCTCAAGGGTTTAATTTGAATTTTCCGACGAGCATCCCCGTCCCTTTTATAGTGGAGCTCTGGCGCGCAAAGGGCGCCTGCGGAGCACCATGGGTATGTAAATCTACCCATCCCAGAAAATTTGGTAATCACGTGATCGTACACCGCCCGCCCGCCCGTCCGTCCGCACCACAGCGCAACCAATGTTCAATCTCACACTTTCTAGCTAGTTTGGGAGCACAGGAAGACTGATATTGCACACATATTGCACATCAATGTTGTGATCAATTGACAGCTGTCAAAACAGGGTATCCGCTGACCAGTATCACCTGACCATATCGCAGGCTCAGGTGTCGACCCATTGAGATCGAGTATATTTTGGAAGTTATCCGCTGACAAGTTACTAGTTTTCAAATGATTGCAGGCTCAAGTTTAATATTTTTTAATTCATATGAAATATGTTGTGTTTTATATGTGCCACGTCCAATTATTATACTCTGATTGGTCAAAATTTGACAGGCGAGTTCATGCGGAAAATTTATGCAGCATCTTAAATCTTGATTACTTTGACAGCTGAAGCTGACAGAGTTTTGTGTCAACTTGTGATGTTTTTAACTGTCTTTTTCCACTGAATGTACAAAGTTAAATTCAGCTGCTATCAAGAGTCTTATGTTATTCATGGCTAGTTTGTTTATTGGGTTTTTTGGTTGAGAAATACATCGCTTTGGTAAAGTCGGAAATCCGATTTCAGATGGCATCGTTTTCGTTTTTCACCCTGCTTGATGCGTAAGACGGTTGAAAAGTCTG